TCATGCCCCTGCTAAACACAGGTCCACACCAAGACCTTTGAGAGGAACCTAATCCTTAGCAGTCAACCAATAACCCTATGCCTCCAGCCCTTTCATTCCCCAGCAAGCAGCTGGGGAAGGGGCAGCAGCCCATAGCACTGCTTTGGGAAGATCGCTGCCCGCATCTTACTGCCTCTCCTTGATCCCTATCTGTGTGGTGGTAGGTGCATGGCATTGACCTATTGAAATGAGCTATGCCAATGCAGAAAGAACACTTCAGAAATTATTTCATTGTAGAACAGAGAGCTCTGGTGGCTTCTGTACAACGCCTAGCTCATTGATATGCAAGTTCTTCATTTTTCAGGTTACATAAGAGTTTTAAACCACAGGTGGTTTTTTTTTCCTCTCTCTTTTTTTTTTTTTTTTTCCCCCTCCTATCATTGATCTTTTATTTCATTCCCTGGAACTCAAGACGAGTCCCAGACTAAAAGTACTGGGATCAATAGGAAGCGTTGACTAAATCAGAGCTGTAAGACCAGGCCCATAAATTCTAGAACAATTCTTGCAGCCTGAGAAATATTGCCAGTCAAATCTCCCAGTGATAACGAGCCGCATGAACCAGCTGTTTACGGTGGCCTGATATAAACTTTCCAATATAAATTCACTCTTTTCCTCTTATGGAAGCCTGTTTCATACGTTTGAGTTTTGTTTGATGGCAGTCACAGAACCAAGCAGTTCAACAATTCTGAAACATCTAGGGAGATAGAAATCAAATGGTGCTCAAGCTAGTTAATTAAAACGTTTCAGAATCTTTCACCTGCAGTGTCAAGCTGTTTTGTTAAGTGAAGAATTGAGAGACTAACCGAGCAGGTGCTGCTGCAAGCACAGATTGCCATACAAAATCACTTTATAGAAGCCTATCAGAAGTAGTCTGACTACAGGATCTAATAGGGAGGGCAGCGTATACTCATTGCTTCTCATTACCTGATTGTGAAATCTTTAGTTAAAGAGCGCTCTCGCTGAAATCAACAGGGACTTTCCCGGAGTAAGGCTGCCGGATTGGGACCACACTGTGCCATTATGGTAGATATCACAAAAACCAGGCTGCTTACATTATGGTTTTCAGCGGCCGCATCTGATCTGAAGCCAGATGAATTGAATAGAATGCTTCCCGTTGATTTCATTGCAGGCCAGATCAGGAGAAGAGTCACCACATGGCTGGCTCAGGATAAAAAAGTAGAAGGAAGTGTCCTTGGAGTTGTTTCACAGGTTGTATATATCTTTTTTTCCCCAGAAAGAATAATTATTTATTTAAGGAACTATTAAGTGATAGCACAGAAGGAAAAAAAATCTAACCTACAGTTGGCTTGGATAAGGTGAGTAGACTCATGTTTGATATTTCAGGATATCATTTATTTATCCTTAATGGAAAAGAGGGTTAGAAAGGTCAGAAGCAAACATCTGCACACCTGAGCAGTACTAATGCTCAATCTATGCTCAACCCACACACACAGAAAGACCAAGGACAGAGCTTATGATACCTATTGTCCAAAATCTGTTCTTCTGGAAGGTCTTTTGAGCCTTGGCTCTGGAGGACCCCCTTAAAATCACTGCCAATGTACACAAGCAAGAGTATTTGCCTTAGTCAGCAATTTCCAGGACAGAAGCCATAGGCTGCATGATCCTTGGGGCAGACACTGTCAGTTACCTGTTATTTACATAGTGTTCATGTGAGGAGGCTCCAGTCCTAGCTGGGATTGTAAGCAATAGCATAAAAACAAGCAATATATAAATTACCTCAAGGCTAATGACTGGACTGCTTAAATAGTCAACCCTTCTCAGATAAGCTTAAGCAGAGGGAAACTGGAGAACATTTTAAAAGACTTCACAGAAACATTTACTTACAGAAAAGATTCTCTCTCTGAAACCTTCACTCTTGATGCACAATCCCAGTTTCAACTTACAGCAATAAAAGTGATAACTCAGATCAAACAGTGCACCGAGGTGAAAACTTGTTTTTCCCAGGCAGCTAGCCTTCTCTTGGAGGTTCATCTTCTCTAGGACTAGAAGCACTACCTCTTTCCCATTGGTACAGATTTGCATTATGGTAAGCAATTAAAAAAGTTACCCCAGAAGACACTCATTTTACATGGGTAGGAAAGAGAAAGAGAGAGGAGAAAAAGAAATATGACAGAAAGATGGATGTGCAATGAAGTCTTTTTCCAGCTTATCTGTGTTGCCATAAGTGAACCAAAAACCTAGAAAACTGCACATCTAGTATCAGCTACACTGTTTCATATACTTTTGCAGATATAACTACAATTTACAAGTGTTGTTGGGTAAGATAAAGGATTATTATTTTTTTGCTTAATAGTACCGTGAAAAGATAGTGCTACCCCAAGCCACATTCACTGCACCGCTGTTTGATATGTTAGCTTCCCAGGCTCCCTAGGACGCATTGCTGCCAGCTACCATCTCCCATATGAGCACAGCAGTCAAGACGTGGCTTTGCAGATGAGCTTCTTTATTTTTCAGAGGCAATCTGTCCTTCCAGTTCCCCTGTGCCTCTATTTCCCCACTTACGCCACAGTACTACAGCACTGAACCAGCTGCTAGGCTTAGTTCATTCAGCTCTGGTCCATACGTGAAAGTACTTTTATGAAGAGCAGGAGAGGCACAAATATTATTCTGATATCATAGGTATCACTACCATTGTAAGACAACTCAGCATGAGCTTTTCTTTCCTTTCATGAAAAGGGAAGAATAAATATAACTGTCCTTCTGGAGGGGTTTTCCTCAGGGAGCAAACCTAGACCTTCTGCACCGGAACATCTAAGCACTACTGCCTCATGTGAAAGGACCCAAAGTATTAGACAGATGAGAAGGACTAGCAGATTCAAGCCTCTATGCACGTATAATTGGGACAAAGAGACGCACTAGTCAGGATTACACATGCATGCATAATAATATGTTCACCCAGTGATTACTGTGGAGAAAGCACAGCCCATCTAGATCTGTAACAGCGACTGTGCATACACACAAAGCATTACTCTCTGCCTTATTGATGAACAGGAATGGAACAACTTTTTTTTTAAAAAAAAAAAAAAAAATCACTGAAGAGGACAAAAAAGCATATGCTAAGGTATGATTGACAGCCGCCATAATGGACTGTCATGTCAAAAGAACTGCCTTGCTAATTCTCTTACATAATGAGCTAGATGCTAGGCTCTCCTTGCAAGTTTGATTGTGCACCCTTCCATCAATCTTACCGACATCTTGGCATCTAAAATACAGCAAAACCACTTAACAAGGGCTCTTTAAACAGGCAAGAGGAGGGATGTCTCTGTGTATTAAATGTGATGTGGAGGTTGCTATGGTAAATTTGAGCATGTGAACGTTGCAGAGCAAAATTCCACACCGGTGGCTAGAGCCTAGGCTAGCCATGCCTCCAGGTTCTTTAAGTGTACTTGGACTGCATTACCTCAAGAATGGAAGGAATATGGCTCTGGTGCCACTTTCATAGGAGGGAGAGGGAGTGCCTTTGTCTAATCCTCATTTTCTTGTGTGTGTGCAGATCCCTGGGGTGTTGATGAGGAATATCTGAAATGGATTGTAGCATGCTCTCTCTGCAGCTTTCAGATACAGGGCTCCGTCCCCCAGACTCCTTCACTAAGACTGGAAATATATACATGCGTTTCTCTTCCACTTCTTTTCCGCTTCGGCTGGTTGTCACAGTTACATAATGCTGCCAGTTGAAATCGCAGCTCAATGGCGTTGTTAGGCAACTCGGTTAGCTTTATTTATTGAATTGAAAATTGCCATATAGGTGTTGATTATCTGCCCTAGAGTCCTGATGATTATAGCTCTAACTATTGGCACTTCCTTTATTACCAGTGCTCTGACTTCCCATTTTGCTTGCTAAATTTATAATCCACAGAGCCCCTTCAGCTGTGAACTGCTCCCTCCCAAGCAATTGTAGATTAATTGCCAGCTCCACCCTAGGGCCCTGTAGTGGAGGGGGATTGAACTGCACATCAGAGAGCTAAGTTTAGTGTACAAACATTTACCAGGATTTACAGTTCTCTGGGTTATTTCATGCTTTCCTTTTACAAGAAGGTCCACAGGAAGCCTACTTGTTCCCCAGCTCCACAGTGACATTTCTTTGACTTGTTTTGTTGTTACTACTCATTTATGATCACAAAGATACTGTAACGAGTAAAGTACTACCAGCTAACTGGTAGCTCCGCTGTGGCCCAGTGCCTCAACAGCACATAGAAGCCACCACCATCACGCCTGCTATTTTATCCAGCAACTCTGCACCTGTTTATCTGGGATAATTATTGCTTCCATTTGTTCCATGTTTCCAGTTCTTCCTATTTCTTCTTGTTCACAGGCATCAGTTTTAAGCATCAGCTCTGTCCACGTTCCCTCCATCCACCCGTTCCTTGTGGTCAGACTGCAGCGTTCCCCTCCACAAAGAATCATTTTTTGCATGCGTGGTCCCATTGTTCGCACTTTGAAAATAAACCTGACAACTCTGAGTGTGAGGATCATTCTGAACAGTCAGAACTGATCAGCATTTGTGCTCAGTCAAACCAGGACTTGTCTGCCAAAGGATTTGATTTTTGCAGCCTTCCCCCAGACTTTCCTCTTCTAAACACTCGGCAGGTTATGGCTTCCAGAGCTCACGCACACTTGGCACCCCTCACTAGAGCCTTCCCTGATCTCAGTAGCACCATGCTTTTGTTTAAGCACTTTTAGTAGGACCCTGAACTTGGAAACATTCAGAAACAAATTTGAACTTGGAAACATCCTGCAACCTGGGAACATTTCCCTAAGGCACCCCAGTAGCTCCAAAGATCCCCATCTCTTCGGTAACACCACCAGGTAGACCTCATCCAGCCAACCAGCCCACACGTAAATAACTATGAAGCATCACTGCCCTTCTCAAACAGCTTGCAGTACCATGCTTGTTTCACCTTACCTCATATTTCTCATCTTTCAGGCTTCTCCAAGCTCAGGAACACTCTTGCTCAGCTATGCTCACCCCACTCCAGGCCTGCAGCCTCTCTCCAAGCAGCAGCACCCAGTCGGCCTTAAGAGCTCTCCCTCCCTGCAGGGCCCTCACTTGTTCCATATTTGCTGCAGCTGTTGCTAAATTAATCCCTTCAATGTTCAACTGGTAGAACTGCAGGGTATGTACAAGCTTGTGGCTGTATCTGGTAAGTTTGTGAGGGGTAGAGGTGAGTACAGAAAGCATTCTGAAAGCATGAATAGAAGAGGTGAAGTTTTCACATCCAGATATTTGCTCTCACAGGTTGGAGCAGTTTTCCCACACACCTCTCTGCAGAGAAATTGAAAGTGAGAGAAGGATTGTGCCTTCTCAGTGGGCCAGATCATCACACAGACCGATTCCCCCCCCCCCCCTTTTTTTTTGTGTTAGAGTCTCTCTCACTTCAGTTGTCATTCAGGGAATATCTTATTTATTTATATATATATATATTTGTATATTACAGTTGTATATCTATTCTACTTCTAGCTTTGTTATTCTGAGTTCAAAGATGCTTCCACTTCACTGTATTGTTGTTTTTGTGTTTAAGAACTCCACAAACCAGCAGTATGTGACTTGTAGTGTGGTATTTAATACATTTTTACATGAAAGTTTGCTTTGTGGGACTTTCTGAATTGCTTCTACTGAGGGAAATATCTTAAGAGAAAAAAAAGGTTCATGGCCATCTTGCCTTGTGTTAGCATGTAAAACCACCTCCCTACTTCCTTGCAACTCTGTGGTTTCTTCTACAATAGTAGAGATTAACAGTAGCAGGGTTATCTATTTTTACTTTCTTAGAAAGAGAGAATCACGGCAGGGAAAGAGAAGAGAAGCCAGCGACAATCCCCTGATCAGCCAACTCTCCCTAGATCAGATGCTCTCTGTCTGTGAACATCTGCCTTAAAAGACAGCACCTGTTCAAAAATATACCAATAATTAAGTGCTCATATGTCAAATATCGCATGGGATGCTTAAAAGTCGGTAACAATTGTTCCCTCTAAAGTAACCTGGCTGTATCTTTAAGCTGAAAGGAACATTCAAAAGCCAAAGCTAGTGCATCTGCTTCAGTGGTTGGAATGACAGGACGGTGCATGTACAGCCATGAGCACATTATAACATTTGATATTTTTAATCAAATCCCATTTTAAGGTGCAATGTGTTTTACTCTGGTAAAGGTCATTTTAGTTACAGTAGCATTAAGGGTTTTCAATAAAACATTTTAAATGCCAGTTATATAACTGCTTTTAAAACATTTAACAGCCACATTGGTTACATGACCTGAGACAAAGGATATTTTCTCAGCACTTTGATATATTGTGCCTAGATTATCCTTATGGGAACGTTCAGTTCCATAATGGCCTCAGGCCATCCCATAATATGTGGTGTAGGATTTTTTTTCCCCACCAAAACAATAATTGCTAATGAAGCCAATGGTGATGGAAGTTCAATGACATGGCAAGGGATCGAGATTGCAGTCAATAACAGCAGCAGGCACTGGCCAGTACCAGAAGTTCATCCAGCGCTACGCAAGGACAAAAAGGCAGCAATAAGGGACGGACACACACTGATCTGTGTCTTAGCTCTGCACTGTATGTTAAAGGAGAACAACTCAGGTAAACAGAGGTTCTTTCCTCCTTGCATCTCCTGGAACACTGCACCATTAGAATACAATCTATAAAAGAATATGAAATATAGAGAGGATAAGGTAAGATGTATAGGATACAGCTTCAGGCCATCACAGCCAGGTGTACCTGGATGCATACAAAGTTGTTCCACTCCACTCTTCTTTAATAATGGTATAAGGGGATGCTGGGAGATGAACAAGCTCCATTTGACATACACAAGACTCAACCCAGATCTTATTTTTGAGGGTAGACAACTGCTTCCCACTGGGCACTCCATGGGACAATGTCACTAGAGCAGCATTTTCAGCTGTGGCACATCCCTTGCCAGCACTCAGATTCTGGATCTCATTCCCAGACCCAGACCCAGCAACCTTTTGACTCAGAGGCGAGGCTCCACAAAGCGAATCACCACGAGCCAGTCAACAGGGCCTATTCCTCTCTGTTTCTCTCTCTCTTTTTCTCTTACTTATCATTTAAGATTTTGTCTTCTTGTGGTTAGAAACGCGTATTCATGTGGGATCCTGGACTGTGTAGCACGGCAGGGGTTGGCAGGTGGTTCTTGCCATGCTTCTGGAAGTCTGCCTCATCAGACCAAAGCAAGTGGCTCTTGCCTGGCAAACGACTGCTAAATGCCAAAACTGTATTTAAAATGCAAGCTTTCTGAAGCCCCTCTTTTTTTTTTTTTTTTCTTTTTCTTTTTTTCCCTGTAATAAAAATAAACTCTTTGTCGCAAGAATGAAGTAAAAATGGCATATCATGCCTTTCCTCCTGCTTTGAGCAGGAGGTACCAGATGACCTCCTGAGGACACGTCCATCCTGAATTATTCTAAGAAAATTTGTGTATTACTTCAAAAGCAATATAAGTAACAGATACAATGACAATCCTTTTTCAGAGCTCCTGGGAGTCATGTCTTTCTCAGTGATTTCAGGTTGTAATGAAATTAAGAAGTTGCTGTGTTTCAGAATAATATCTTCCACAGCCAATTTTATCATGAGCCAATGAAATAAATGTTTCCAAAGTGAACAGCTGGCATCTCTTTTCATAAAAGATTCCCTTTTAGAACACTATTTCCAAACAATATTACAGTGGCTCCATTCACATGGCTATAGTTCAGACTGTGTCAATACTTCTCTTATAAACCTTGTTTTTCAAGGGTTTATAACTTTACAGCTGAGCCATAATTAGCTGGGATTTGAGTTACAGCATAAGAGTTCAGTCTGTCTGTGAGGACATTTTTGCTAATATTAATAAAATCAGTTTTAAATTATAGAAGAGTAAAGCTTAGTGCTTTAATGCATAAAAAGGATTCTTGAACATTAAACAGCTTTGATTTAAAAAAAAAAAAAATGGAATTTTGGCAAGTGATTAGAATATAATCTCCATCTTTTTTGTTCTTTTCAAATAAGTAGACCAAAAAAAATGCTTTAGAAATTCAGTCTGACAAACATACGGAAAGTTAAAGTTGATGATCTCTCCTTAATTTATGTTGTTATAAAGAACAGGCACAACGGTCTCATTAAAAGGCACAGAATCAACCAAGGCTCATATTCTGTGGCTTTTCTCCAGTCTTACTTTAGTCTTGCTGCCATGTAAGCATAGTTTTTAGTACTTGATATCATTTTGTTCGAGTATTTTACGACAATACCAATTTGCATCCTGCCTGTGGTTTTATGGTCACTTCAGTCTGAGCTATTAGCCCGGCTTTCTGTACTCCATGTTTCCAATGCCAGTCTTAATTACAATGCGAAACAAACACCTCCTGTTTCCCATTCCAGCCGTGCCGCACTGTGCTCCACTGTGAGCCCAGCTCACCGTCTGGGCGTGAGTCAGCTCTCGCTTCTGTTCCTGGAGCTCTCCTCCTGCGTCAGGGTTTCATGTGAAGGAGAGCCCTGTTTGGTTCCTGAGCTGCGTACCTTAATCGCAACCTCTCCTGGATGTCCCAAAAGAGCTTTCTGAAAATCCTAATGAAGTTCCATGAAATGAGGCCAAGAAATTGATGTCTTTACACAGAAACTAATTTGTTCATAAAGACTTGCCCTTTGCATCACAGATTGAAGTATTTGGAAAACATACATGTAAATGAAATGAGAAAATGGAAAAGATATGCTGAAGTTGGTCACTTAAAATGGCTTTTTCTAGTAGGTATGAGCTGTTATGAGAGGCATAATATGACAGACTGGACAGCCAGTAGCTCTCTGAAGCCCTAGGATGGCTCTGGTCTGGTATCTCTCCTCCCCTTAACTCCTCTGCAGCTCTCCTCCCCTGTGGTTTCACTTTGGGCTTCACATCCCTACTCCTGTGACAATTTCCATGTCAGAGTACCACAACCACCCCAAAACCTAACCTTTAAGTTTCTTTAAACTCTTCCTAACCTTTAAGTTTCTAGGTTTAGCCCTCTTAATTTCTACAATGATCATATTTAAATAATTCTTTTCATGCAGACCGTGGGCTCCTGTGCAATATTCACCATGGTGCAGAACCGCTGGCTGCTCATTTCTAAGGTAAACCAAAGAATCACCCAGAAGGGCAGGCACTGCATGTGACGGACTCACCTGAGACCAGCACAGGTTGAGAGAACCATACACTGACGTTGTTAAAACTGTTATCGTCATCAGGAAAAAATATGGTTTGAGAAAACCTATGGTCTGGTTCTCTGCAGTGCCACCGGTTCTGTCTCTGCTGGACTGCTCCTGATGCCACCCTGCTCTTCTCCCTACCACTGCACTGAGCTTGTGTCCTCCCAAAGGCTTTACAGTCTTCAGAGACCAAGGAAGGAACAGTGAGAGAACAAATACTGAGAAAACACTTCCAGTCATGTACAGGATGGGTACAACCTGAGAATGGGTCATTCACAGACCTCAGAACTGCCCCTCTGCATCAGTAAAACCACATCTCACTCCTTCCCCTTTCTTCCCCCTGTTATCTAGGCACTGTCAGCACTTCCCTTCTTCCCTTACCAGCCAGTTCTTTGTATGCCCTGAGTTTGGCACCCTAATCTTCGTTAAGCTTTTACTTTTCCTAAGGCTTTTCCTAAGTAGAAAAGAGACTGCCTTAGCAGAAGGATAAGCAGGGCCATTTGAGAAGATGCCTATTTTTATCTTCATATGTTATCTCAAACGATGCTGAGCAGGGCAAAAGGCACCGAATTTCACCTCGGCATTACAGCACTGTGGAAACAAACATGCATCTTGTTAGAGTGTAAACAGCAGCCACAGAGCTCCCCTTGTTACCCGCGCTGACGGATCTGTATGATAATTGCCGGCTAGGATGACTGTGTCCCTCTCAGGCCGGAGGTAACCGCATTATACAGTCAGAAGCCTCGCTGAATTCTGTGGCCATCAGCCTGCACAAAAACACGAAGTTAAAATTGTTTCTTTGAATTCAAACGGGATCAATACCTCTCAGGAGACAGATGGGGTTTTCTTTGCTGCACTGAAAAAAGAATCAGTGTCTGGAGTCCTGGCTCAAAGTACTCATTCAGCTACAGAACAACACCAGGAAAAATCAGCAGAGAGTGGGCACCTGCTCTTTTCCTTGATCAGCCCTGGATCTCAGAATTTGATGTTTTATATAAAGGGAGCTTGCTGTTGCTCTTGCATGCTGCTTCTGAAACGATACAGTCTGGCTCAGGCAAGAAGGGCATGTTTATTCTTTCTCGGAGCTTTTTCATTTTTACTTGTAGCTGAATCCTCTAGGTCAATTGTATCTGCAGGGGTGGGAGAGGAATTTAATTGCTTTTACTTCCTACCTTCATCTCAGGGTGACCAGTCCATTAATAATGCACAGGAAGCGACTAAGAAATGCATGGTAGATTAGGGATTAATTGATATTTGGAAAGATTTCAATCCACATTTGAAGGAAAAGGTTACACACTGTAGTCCAGCTCTAGTTACTATTTGCATTTGATTATTTTATTATTTCTTACAGCCCTGCTTCTTCTGGTTTTAGATATGTTTTCCCCCTTCCTTGGCTATTTATGAAGAATTTCCTTGTTTATTTCTTGCTAGAGATGTCTGTCACATTTCTGATACATGCCACCCCCTATCAAATAAATAAATACATTTATCTGTATTTTCCAGTAATTATGTTTTTCTCTGCACTGACACTGCCCACAGTTCCTTTATGAGCAATTTGACTTTCCAAAACGTTATTGATTTCTGTGCTTGGAAGTTACAAGATTAATAGCTTTAGAGGCATAAGTCCTTCAATCCTGTCACCAAATAGGAGCTCCAAGCTTGCTTCAGTGCCTGCTGATGTGCTTCAACACATCATTTTTAGGAAGAGACATGAGCCAGGCACTGCTCAAATCAAAAAGGCCCTAAAATACAGGAAAGAGATGGTTAATTGCAATGATGTCGGGGCAGGAAGGTAGGATTTAGTTGGTTTGAAAATGACTAGCGTGACGCCTTGACTAGTTTTGCCTAGATTGCCCCATTGAGATGGAAATGACTTCAGTAACTTTTTAGCGGTTTTAAAGAGTGCAAAGCAGCTAATCTTGACTCTAGCAGTCAGGAGCCTATGAGAAAAGACGAGAAGAGCCAATAGAAAAGATGTATCGGATTCTTTAAAGACCTTGAAAAATTCACCCCATCTTCTCCTGATGTGAGTTACATTAAAAATAGACTAAAGTTCGGAATATAACACAGATGTCCAGTTACAAGCACTTTGATAATGTTAGGTGAATCGGACAAAGACCTTTTGAGGCCCCCTGGTGCTATGGCAGCTTTTATGATGGTATTTGCATTGAAGAGTAATGGATTCTCCTAAGCAGCTAGAGGCAGACAATTTGGAAGAGTTTCAAGCTACTAAATGCACACCACAGAGAGACACTGACGACTGTAAAATTTGAGTGGCCACCTCAATTTAGCACTAAAATGTCAAAGGAGAGGTAGACCTGCATTGCATGTGTTGTACCACGAAGAATTTGGAATACTGATCACGGAAATCTATTTTAAATTATTTTCTGCTCCTAAGGAAGCAGAGCTAGGCTAGTTAGCAGAGGGTGGTAAGATGCAGCGTGTGAGTAAAGTACAACAGTGAGGATGGCTCTCCATGGCAGTAATCAACTTGGGACTGGAGAAGTTCACCTCCCCGTCACTCAGAGGAAGTAAAGGTCACATCTTAAGTGATTTTTGTTGTCCTAACAGTGAGTGTTTTGCACCCCAAATGCAGTTCTGTTTTTTGTCCCCCCCCCCGTCTGACAGCCCAAGAGGAAGGGACAGTCGCTGAAATGTAAAAGGCATCTCAGGATGATGCCCCGGAGGAATCTTTGCTCAACCTCACCGCATCGTGGTGATAACAGCTGCTGGATACGCCACCGTGTTTCCACTGCAGGACATCTCAACCCAGGCTGCAATTTTATTCAAAAATCCACTTTCCAGTGAGTAAGAATGGTAAGCGGCATATCTTATATTACAGTATTAAATTAAAAACGCATACTATTTACAACTATTGTTAGGAGCTGTTTTCAAAGCCCTTCAGTATTTTTTATCCATACAGGTATTTGGGGAAAATTATTCCTTCTGGTTTTATTAACCATGTGTTCGGTTAAGGTTACCTGAGTTGCATCTCTAAGTCTAGGAGACTTCACAAGCACTACCTGCTGATTTATCTGCTTTGGCTGTTTAAATAAATGAAGAAAGAATTGTAAACTGTAGTGGTGTCACGACGGGGTAGTTATGTTTTATTTTAATTAAAATCAGGGTCTAAAAAAATATTTTATTCATTGGTTATCTACCTCGGCGTGCTTGGCCTACTTTTTTCAGGTACCTAGAGATTCTGCTGAAGTCTTCATTTGCTCGGTGTGCCAAATCCACAGACCCGCACTTTGTATAATGCTCAGGCTGCAGACACGCCTTCAGCCAAAGGAAACTGAATTCAGTAATCACAAGCATTTGCACAAGGCCTGTCTTGCTTTTACACAAATCTACTTTTTCTTTCTCTGCTCTGCTTTTTACAGCCTCCACGCTCTGCAGCTCGCTGTGGTCACAAGCTCCCACTGAAGCATTTGAGGAGAGAAGGCTCCGTGAAACTTCAGCTGCTATTTTGTTTTCCACCTGATCTCTACAGGACCCCAGAGACAGTCATGTACAAAGCTCTGGCCCCAGTGGGTTTTCTGGCATAGAGGAATGACCAAGAATGACAGAAGTTAGTGCAACTTGAGAAATCATTACAGCACACAGCAATACCAGTCCTTAAGTAGTCATCTGGAAGGTCAGCTGAAGACAGTGGGACAAAAACAGTAACGAAGGCCAATCTCAGTTCCTAATTGCCAATATATTCAGACATACGTACCAAGCAGCAAAGGAAAACAGAACTAAGGAATTCGGAAGAACTGGCTTGTAAAGAGAAGCAGGCCAACTACCCTTTCCTTCCTAATCATAATGTTTTAGTACAACAGAATAAAATGGCATATAAAAAGGTAATGTGCATTTTCTTCAAGGACTTGTTGAAAATATAGTACGGTATCTTTGTAATTTACTGGTAATGTGTACACAATGTAAAAGATCAGGAGCAGAGAGTACTATCACTATATTTAGAGATAATGGTGCTTTTCTTTCATAGGCTTGATATAAACTTTGATTACATAGCATTTCTTTAATTTGCTGCTATTCAAGAAAACCCTTAGAGCACTGCAGCGAGCAATGCCTCTCTTTTACATTTGCATTTTTTAATTTGCATTTTTTAATTTCCCAGACTACAGCTCCACACCTACACAGGCTTCCCCTGTGGGAGGGAAGAGAATATTTTTCAGTATGAATGATACTGTTTCTCTTCTCAAATAGCTGTAGTTATTAATTCCAGAGATTTACAAAAATCGCTTTGCTACCGTATCACTTAAGTGTGGAGCTTTTTTCTAGCTGACATCAGATGCCAATCTGTTGCTCCGCCGGTACCCATTCTAAGTAGGGCAGCCAAGCAAGAAGTTCAGCCTGCTCTGACGAGGAGCTGTTGCATTCCCTGCATACCCCACGGTGCCACTGAGCTCCGGAAGGGCCTGGTGCTTTTAGAGGAAGAGCCACAGTGTCCCTAGCACATCCAGCTCCCCGTGGCACCCTAATGACAGGAAGCTAGACCGGCACAAGGACATGGGTTCCTGCAGAGCCAAGGGTTTAGGGGCCTGAATGTCAGCGAATGTGGGCTTTGCAGGCAGAGTCTGTGCCTAGGTCTTCAGGTCTTTATAATTTCTGTATGTAACTCTTTGCTCTTAAAAGCCTGAGATGCTAAATTTGAGACATGACATAAACAGGGAAGGTAACAAACAAAATTAGTCCGGGAAGAGGGATGGCAGCAGTAGGGCCATGACTTCGTTCAGGGATTTTAGCCAAGTGCTAGTGCCTGTCCATGGGGGAGTGCCTGTGTCCAGAATGACTCCACCCAGAGGCTGAGGCAACAAAACGAGTTGTTGATTTGACTTTCTCTATCCAGGACCTTGCAAAAGAAAATTTACAAGCACAGTATGTCTTCCCAAGACTGAACGTTTGCTCACATAATAAGGTTAAAAAAAGAAGAACTTGGAAGATTTTATATAACTGCACCATCTCATGACACCTGCCATAACAATATTTTATTTGTCAGTCTTTTCTCAGCCTTAGTCTCTTGAAGCTTGACTAGGTTACTGCATCAAAGGGAAGGAGTAATAGTATCACTTCAGATAAAAGAAAAAAGAGAAGCGTGCTGTGTACAATCTGCCCATCATGTCACTTCACAGTTACGTTAACCAAACAGCCAACATACCTATGAAAAACACACAGCCATATAATGTGGCAATCCACGTAAGCTAGAGCTTCTTCTCAGGTGTGGTAAAAATGCTTCATTCTTACATGGTAGCTGTAGTTCAAAAAGATTTATGCAGATTAATTAATGTAACATACTTTATGCACATCAACTCACCAAGGCAGAGAAAGATTAAATGAATGGCAAAACACAAAATTTAATAGACAAGGGAAGTGGCAGAGCAATAAACACCATGGAACTCCTGGATTCGAGAATTAAGAGAAAGACATAATACAACTATTTCCTTTCCCTTTCTTAAAGTACGCATTTCAGACAGCAAGTTCTGCTGTGCCCAGCACTGAGCACATCGTCAGCTCTTTGCAAGTACTGAGCTGAATAAATGATGTTAACTGTAATCCCATTCCCTTGTCCTAAACCACTAAATCTATCAGAATTTTAAACCTTCATATTTAACTGACTTTGGTAAAGATAACTCTGCAAGTGCATGTTAAGCTGTGATATCTCAGCACTACTAATTAATATGTAATAATAATAATAATCATGACTAATAATGCTGCCGTAATAAGGATTTAATCCTACAGATCATTTTTATGAAAGCACTTTGATAATAATGATTATTTATTCTTACAGTGCATTTTTCACGCTAGCAACTTCAAGTACAGTGATGATTAATAAAGCTAAGGAAATTGAGAGATATATAAAATAGCAAGCTTATGAGACTGCCAATGTGCCGATCTTATTAAATAAACATTAACAAAAAATAGAGCTGTAAAGGAGATTCTCTTGGGGGAGGGAAAACAAAACCAACAAAAACCAAAACAACCACCAAACCAAACCAACCCCCTCGAGGCTATGTCAGCAGGATTGAATTGACCTGTGTATCAATGTCATTTCCATTGTCACTCTAGCAAACAAAATAAAATAATAAATAGCACTTAGTGAGCTGTGGACTGGGCTGTCAGCTGGTGTAAATGGGTGCATTGGCATTAATCTAAAGCAGCTGTGCATCTGGCCCTACATTTTCAAAGGGCTGCAAAAACATAAGAAAATACCCAATATGTCTTGTCCACAATGACTTTAATGCAGAGCAGAGGAAGGTTACTTACTGTCAACATTCACACACTCGAGCGATGGCTGATATATATATCTGAGCTACTTAGCTGGATTAGGCATCCTGAGATGTGCTAGGCCATTTTTGTCTGCCCTGACTGTGATTTAAGTTCAGGAGAGATGCCTCTTGCCTTCCTCCTCTCATCTTCCCACTGCTGCAGGCAAAACCAAAGGCTTTGCTATGACCCAAGTTAGATTCCCATGGAAATTCACAGTATGGCAATAGAGAGAATTCACCTGGTTCAAAAAAAAAAAATCCCCCAGTAGGGATCCATTTAGCCTGCAAAGCATTACATGGGCAGCATTTTGCCAAAATAGCTTAGAAAGGAAATTACCTGGGCTGGCACAATTTCTAGCAGCAAAGGAAATCTTTTGCAGGATGGTTTAGGTAATTAGAGAAGTCTCATCAGCAACAGAGCAGTTTTTAGACTCAGAGCTTCATGCTTGTCAAGATTTTGCTGGCTTGACTTTCTTGGCAGAGCCTTGGTAGAAGAGACCAACCTTAAGAGAGGTTTCAACAGGACAGACCTCCCACAGAAGTAGAAATTACTATGGTGGCAGCAACTTTCTGCTTAAAAATGTCCCCTGACTACCTGCCAGATCATTGATGTGAAAGCAGAAAGAAAGGGATTCGGGGACAGACAAAAGATGAGAGAAGTCCCTGACTGGAGGTTTACTCTGACATCATGTATACATGGAAAACATCCACATGGACTTGCTCCACAGTGATGTCCACGTGCTGGCATCAGGAAAGCAGAGAGGGGAGCCCTGGGTTTTGTAAGGAGTTATGTGCTGGTATCCAAACACCAGGTATGAGGGAGAGAGGAGCAAGTCTGTGGAAGAAGAGCTGAAGGAACTTATTGCAGGGGAATTCTGCAGTTCTTTTTCCTCCACTTCTTCCTCTTTATTATCATATTTAATTAGGCAATTTGGGAAATGATTGCACAGAGAAAGATAGAAACTCCAGGTAAGCAGCCACCCTCTGATAAAAGAGAGGCCCAGCCCATGGCCAGGAAGGCGACACGATGGTAAGAAATAGCTGGCGCGCTTTGAATACATACTGTGTAAACACTGTCTGAGGCTCATGGAGTAGTGAATGGAACCAACCATCTCTTTGTGAAGGGGATGAACAATATTTCATTCCACATAAATATCAAGAGTAGCCTCCAGCAACAGAAATCAAATCTGAATAGGAAGAGATCTTAGCAGATCTAATACAGGCTTTCGCCAGTACTGGTCGATCCTTCTTTAAACTAATTTGTGAAGAAAGAGAACAAAGGGCTGGATGTTTCTCTGCAGACAGTCATATTTTCTAAGTCAAGAGTAAATTATGTTGAAATGAGAATAAGAAGTCATAAAATATAATCAGACTATTATGCAGGTAAGAACTGTGGGGAAGATACAGCCCTCCACGACGCATTGCTAGTGTAACGTATGATAAGGAGAGACAACAGAAATCAGTGGAAAAAATTTGGCATGCAGTGATTTCCTTCCCTAGGCCTCCTGCAATTTGCAGAGCACTGCAGAATTTCTTGGGCTGCTTGGTCAGCTTTCTCTTCTGCAGAAATATTCTTGGGTTTCAATGCTAACTACCAAAGCTACAGACGGAGGGTAGTTGTAAAAGGTTGATTTGCAGAAATATTTATAAATTCTGTAGCTTTCTATTTTAGGTGTTCAATTTAAGGCTTCTGGTGGCTTTAGGCATCTGTCTTGTCTGAGATTTCTCCGTGGTGCTAACAGAAGTGAAGCTGAAGACTTGGATTCTTCATGAAGTGGGAACTGGGGCTTCGAGTCTAGAGAAAATGGAATCCAGAGGAGAATCATAAACACACAAGTTCTCTTTGCACATAGATGTTCCTATTGGAATTATCAAATAAATCTTGAAATAATCACATGGGCCAATCTGTGTGGCAATGGAAATAAACAGCTCTTTTGTAAGGGATTTCCAGGGCGATGAAGATAGGGACTGTCTGCAGCTGGTAAGAACTCACAGGACATGCTCATTGGACTCTGGTTGCTGTTCAGGCTGATGGGAACTTCTGAGATTTACATTCCCTTTCACTTTGCCTGTGTTTCAACAACATGCAGTCTAGTATTTGTGCTTAACCACATATGTACTTGCTTAATGGTGCCCTGCTCAGCCTGTCAATGCATTCTCCCCCCTCAGCTACTCTGCATTTTGATACGTACCAGAACATCATCCGAAGTAAACCTCATGTTATCAGAGGCACATTTGCTCAGTGTTTGTGCTGAGACCAAAGTTGCAGATTTAAAGGGGAAACTCTTTCCCTGAAGGACTACCCCCAAAAACATTTTCACAGAGGTTGGAGAATATATCATGCGCAGAGCACAGATCGTAGAGGACTTCTCCGGGAGTCTCACCAACACCATATTTGAACAGCAGACTGAATCCAAAAGAGGGAAAAACACCCTGCACGCATGTCAGTGGGATGTTCAGCATGCAACACATGAGACGTGTGTGGTGTGCTTGTTATGAAACTTTTGTTAGCTTGGAGAAGGCTTCAGAAGAACAGAGTCTAAAAATGGGATCATTTAGG